CATCATGAAAAGCCCTGTATACCACTCCCGATTCCACGCATATAAATAAAATATTATATTGCGATTTTTGTGTATGGTATAATGATACACTAGGAACCTTTTTTTACTATCAGTCAAGACAGAAACAACTCATTGAAGATAAACTAGGCCGTTAACCACTATTTACCTCTAACCGAGTCCTTTCAAACTAAAAAATAACGACAGTAATCGTAACTAGTTTTAGTACTGACTGAAGTACTGAATGTGTTTTCAATTTTCCGAATGTGCAACTTTTTGAATTCTCTACTTATTGGAACCGTGTCCCGCTTTTTGCAACTGGTGTTCTATAAATTCAAATTGTAGGTAGGTAATGAACTCGGCCATGAATTCTTCAATATTTCGTTGATAAGTTGTAATCATAGTCACGAAAATGCAACTGTTTTGTATCTGTTTGAAAACGCACATGCAGCAACAGGGTGAGTGAAAATTTAAACAATGCAAACGTAATTGAACGATAAATTTGTACGAATTTTGTTTTGACAACAGTAACACGATTCAGATTTAATATTTAGCGGGAAAGTTACACTTTTTAGGTGAATTTTCAGTATCTCTCGCATAGTGTGATGATTTTCAGAATCTAATGTACTTTTGAAAGAGTCAGGCAATAAACTGGGCTAGTGAAGTGAGTAAATTTTTTATTGGAATTTATACAGAAGAACGTTAACAATTTTCAGGAGAGATAAGTTTTTGCCTGTTTTTGGTTTTCACTTCTCCATGTTTATATTCAAAATTGAGCTGATGAATCATGAATCCGAAACTCTGAACCCCGCCATTGAGAATGATAGTGTTCAATGTAAGTGAAATTTAATATTGCAACTTCCTCATTGGTTGTATTGTGTACCCTCAATATGAATAATCTCTGATTCAATTCCATAATCAAATCGATTAGGAAAAAGTCTTTTTGTAAAATTCAATGTTCAGATAAAAGTAGTTGTTACATGAGTATTTATTCAATATTCGTGTGAAGGTAGTTTGTATCTGGAAATAATTCCTATTTATTTCATTAGTTCGTTATCATACAAAATAATTTGAAATCCCTGAAAGAACTAATAAAAAAAATTAAAAAAGAATAGCTGAACTTAACAATAACAAAAAAGCCGGAAATGAAATAACAGTGAAATAAAACACAAGTAAAATAGAACAATTGAACAAAAATCAACAATGAAAAATAAAAAGTTAAAAGATTCCAATCCAAGTTACTCTTTCAGTTGATTGATGGTGGTTTGATTCGTGGTTCAGATACTCCCACTCCCACTCACATGGGACAGTATCTGAACCACGAATCGAACCACCATCAATCGACTAAAAGAGGAATCAAGACTCTACTGGACCGTGCTTTTGGGCTCTGTAATACAAAGGAAGGTTTTGAAAAGGAACTAGGCATCATCAAAAATGACCTTCAACGGAATGGTTACTTCAGAGTGATGGTAGAACAGGCCTTAGCTAGAAGACAGAAAGAACTCCACAAGGTTAGGAGAACGGCTCTATGTGGAATAAACTTTTCGAGACAGCTTTTCCAACTGGATTCGCCACAATTCATATCCAACTTCAATCGCTAATTTCCTACACACACAATTCTCAAAGCATTTTCAGAATTTTCTTGCAGTGCTTTTGTATATCTTCGAAAAAGGACCCAGTTCACTTTTGAAAAAAGCGTTCCCAATATGAGAGACTTCAGTTGTCTTCAAACATTAACGAGAATATAATGGGGACCAAACCGTAAGAAGTTTTGATTATGTGCCAGAGAATCATTCAGTACCTTCAGAACGATTTGCTTTCTGCTTTTCTTTGGAAGCTCCCCACATTTTTGTATGAAAATGGAGATGTAGACAGCCAAAACCTTCCGTTCCAAAAGCTCTGAAGTTATTATTAAGAGGTTTCATTATGTTGTGAGTATTATAGTTATAGGAGCTCTGGCTCATTCCTTATGGAAAAACACGTTCAAATTTACGTAGGTCCATTCTGGACCTTTTTTTGACCTCCGATCGGAACCTTGTGTTACACCTAACTCGATGTACGTGTGACGTATTCGTCCCCACTCCTCCTCTTTTCGTCATTATCCAGTCGACCAATCAAAATCTACCGCGCATACAGCGGGAAATTCAAACCAGTAGATGAACAAGGCCGGTAGGAGCCCACTTCAAGGTCGTGCGTCGTTGGGAAGTGTTCCAGAGAGAGAGATACTTCATAGAGTGGGAGAGAGAAACGTGTGATGTAATCGATGCAGGATGGCATGAGTATCGGAGAGATTCAAAGAGCGTAAGCCCCCTTGGGTCTCCGCAACACCGCTCAGGCCCTCTTGAGACTCCACCTCACTCCTCGGGTCCCATTTGTCAAGTACCAGTCACGTGGTTGACCCAGGACGTCGGCATGGGAGACGTTGTCCTTAGCCTCGACACCAACGTGGAATATTGGAAGTAATTGCGAATTGTTGATATTTATAGCGGGTGTGTTGTCGGGACTGAAATTGACTCATTCTATATACTTGATCACATTTTCTTGATTTCCCTAGAATGTTAGGGAAATTGTAACGTCATTTCCTTGTAGAAGATAGTAAAATATCCTTAGATTTGGGGAAGAATTGATATTTCATATAAAGGTGAGTGTGTGTAGGAGTGAGGGACACGTATGACGTAATCGACGCAAAAAGAGATGGAAATGGTATCGAAGTTATACGTTGCTAGCGCAAGCAGGTGTTGTCGGTTGTAAAATAAATCGTTGTTTATGGAGCAATGTAGCGTTCTGATTGATCGACTGTATGACGGTAAAAATGGAGGAGTGGAGGTGGTTTGAAGAGGGCTTTGAAGGCTAAGGGACTAAGGCTGAGTTCACACATAATGGACGTCTGGAAAAGACGAGGCGCTGACTTTTGTCTCTTCCGTGAAGTATTTCCCGCTGTATGCGCGGTAGCTTCTGATTGGTCGACTGGGTAATGACGAAAAGTGGAGGAGTGGGGACGACTACGTCACACCTACCTCGTGTTGGGTGTTCTACAAAGTTCCGATCGGAGGTCCAAAAGGTCCAGAGTGGACCTACGCAAATTTGCACGTGTTTTTTCATAAGAAATGAACCAGAACTCAAATAGCTATATTCTTCTGCAAACTATGACTCAACCAAATATTTGAATTAGAAAATATTCATGAAAACCAAGATTCATCAGACCAACAACTTGGAGTATACAAGAACAAAATTTGCTATCTCAGTCGAAAATCATCACACTTCAGTACCAGAAAATTTCCCTTTGAATCATTAGTCTATTTTCCGGTTTGTTTCCCTGTAAGTGAAGTTGAAAATGAGACTCGAATCTTGACAACATAGAATGAATTATTGCATTATTGGTAGGGTTTCAATAAACGAAAAAATATTGCAGTATGGAAGAGAATAATCTGACAACAATAATGTTGTTGGTTGTGGCTTCAACCTGCATTTCTAGTCCCTCGGCCCCCAAAACCAGGATTCACCCAGCAGAACTATAAGCTATCTATGTGGACTATTCAAAAAATAGGATGAATGTTCGAATTTCGTTAGCTACGTTGGTAGACTCGTTTCCAACATATCTTCATACCATGTTCAGTTTGTTGGTGGGAGGCATAAGAGTTAGAAGGGTTTTTCGTGTTTGGTAATTTTCTGCTATGAAAAAGATGTATCAGAAAATTTGTATCAAATTATGTGTAACAAATGAAATCAAGTAATCAAAAACGCTTGAAATGTTGACAATGGCATACGATGATTGAACTCTGAGTCAAAAAGATGTTTACAAGTGGTACGAGCTTGGCACAAGTGTAATATATCTGGTGGGGATTACTTTGGAGGGAGCGAAATAGAAATTGATGAATAAATAAATATTTTCTAGAATAAATGGAAATTCACCTTATTTTTTGAACAGACAGCGTATAGATAACCTCTTCGTTGTGAATTTGCAGACAATATGCAACACACACTGATTCACAACACAACAAAGTATCAACATA